CTCGCGCCCCTGCGGCGCCTCCCGCCTGGCCTTGGCGGTTGTGTTGAACGCCCTGTGGGCTTTGACCCAAGGTAGCCGGTGTCCTCAGGGGCCCGGGGCAGGCCTGCTCGCTGTGGCCCTGGCAGGGCCATTGTGCTCTCCCAGAGCCCCTTGTTCCCTGAGCCTTAGGGCCCCTCTGGCCAGGAGCCATCAAGGCTTTCATCTTCCTCAGGCCACCTCTGCTATCTCGTGGCCTGGCCCTTGAGGAAGCCACACACCCTCCAGGGGCAGCCCGGCGGCCTCCAGGGAAACCCTGGGGCAGGAGTCATGGGGGGGGGGCGGCAAATACTGGCACAGCCGGCTTCGCCCCCATTGGGGATGAAGAATCCCGTTTCGTCAGTTAACCGATTAAACGTTATGTGTAACCCCTTCACCATTTAAACGGGAGCCCTGCGGGTGGGGAGTTGGGTAACCAATAAGCATCACCCGGGAACGGTTAACCGGTGACATTCCTAGCCGTGGGCAACAGGTAAGGTAGGCAAGGGAAGGTATTGCCTTCCCAAGCTGCCTGGGCAGCAAGGATTGGGCATCCAGGCAGGGCGGGGCTTGGCTTTATCTGGAGGGGAGATTGCTGAAGGGGCGGGATCTCAGGCAAAAGGGGTGGGGCCTTGGGCTGAGAAACAAACTGAGTTCAGATTTGATTTGATTTGATTTTTTTTTTTCAAAAAAATTATGCCTTACTGTGTTTTCTGTACAGTGGAAGCGGCAGTTGATGAAGAACAATATTCTGTTAAATTAATTAAAAAGAATTACATTTATGGCAACACCAAACATCAAGGTGATTATTATTTTTATAGTTAAGAGCTCAGTAAGCATTTTAGTGCAATATTAATAAAACATAAAAAAAGGATATAAACAAATGTACGTATGTAAATGACTGTTGCTGTGTTATATCAAGAATATTAAATCTTATATAGAATATAATATAATTCTTCAAGTATATAAACAGGACATTAGATATAATATTAGATATTATATTATTAGACATAATAAAAAGGTAACTGTAAATTTTTATGTCAAATTATTACCAACAACTGGAACAATTCAATTACCATAATCTGAAAGCTGTCAACAAAGCATAACCACTGTGAAATAAAGGACACTGTAAATAGAAAAATATTCAAATTAAACCATTGCATGATTCAGTAGAAGGTGCACTTACACCTTTTTAAATTTTATATAAAAACTCATTGGCAAAATGTGCAAATTTGATAGTTCATTCCTCAGACTATATCGGAGAGTCTGTTTTCAGTAAGGACTGTTAACAACAGGTCTATATTAGACCCAGAAGTTAAGCTTAAGAAACACAACTCCAGCTATGTTAATAATGTGTCTGGAGTCCACATACCTAAAGCCAAGCTTGGTGCTGTCTCCACAGCAGGAGGTCGATGGGAACAAACACTTCCATTGGCTTCCCTTACTCCTCACAAATAGAGGAGTATTCTCACTGACTGCGGGTGACCTCAGTGTTTGATTTATTGGGTCCTTACTAGACCTACTAAATCGAATGCCAGAAGATTGATCTCCAGCACAATAAGTATAGATGTGGCCCAAGTCAGTTATTCAGAACTGTGTTTTGGCCTAGACTATAATGTTTTAAACTAAGTCACAGTAATTAAAGATGAAAAAGAACAGTTATGCATTTGTTATCAAAGAAGGGCATCTGCATTAGACATGGTTTTGGTGTGAATTCCTAAATTAAGGTCCTATTCTGCCAGACATGAAGGTGGGTTGGAAAACAAACTTCTTTTGAGGTAAGCAGTGTTTAAAAAGCCTTTGTGCCAAGGTTCAGAGAGTTCAAACTGCTTCCTGAATACCTGTTTGCTACTACATGGTGGCTATCTCAGAATGGCAGACTATTTGGGGATGAAGCATAGTCCTGCCTGGTGGGAGACAAGTGCAGTTACTGGCATAGTAGCGTTGATGGAAACCTGTTACACATCCAATAGCAGTGAAAAACATATTTATTCCATACCCAATGTAACAGATCTCATAAATTGTGTACTTAGGTATAGAGCAGGGTTATATCTTGTTCATCCTCATATGGCTCCAGTCTGAACGTGTTTTTTTCTTCTTTGTTCAGATACATTATGGGGCCAATCTGGTAAATGTTTGGTCAGCAGTTAATTGAACTGATAGATTTATTCTGCGTCTTTACAATTACTTACTAAAGTTACAGTGGAAACGGCTTTAGAAAAACTATGAAGAACTTTAATTTGTGTGGGAGGAGAGCCAAAGTCAATGGGAGCACAATTATTTATTTAGAAATTAAATAGATTGTTTTAGAAAAATACCGTTAAATCTTTATATTTTTCAGAGGCACAAAATCTTAAGTGCTGGCAGTGGTCAATTTATTGTATTTTAACAGTAGCCTTTATTGCATGAAAGTGCCAACCTTTATCAGGATACACTAGGAGACACCATGTGCTGCTGAAGCTACTGGTGATTCCTACAGTACTGTGTTCCCATGATGTAGAGCTGTGGTTCAACAAATACTTTTCCCTGAGCTGTTGCTATGGAAATTTGTAAGCATTCAATGACAGATTAAGAGTTTAGGTGCTTCTTTTTCTCTCACCATCTCATCTGTAAAATGGACATCTGATATTCTTTGGCTGTCAAAACTTTGGGATTCAGACCATGTTTTCCAGTATGTTTGGATAGTACAAATCACATTTTGGACAGTTCCACAGTACATAATAATAATACATAAAGACCATCTGGAGATTAATTCTACACTCAACTAATTTTGCAAGTTGGGCAAAAAAATATATAATATATATGTAAGTATAAACTGATATTTAGTAATTTCATTGTTTTAGCATTGTTGTTTAATTCATTCTCTTATATTGCAGTGAACATTTATGTTAAAGTGTATACAAATAGTCCATTCCTAGTATGCATGGATTTGGCACTTTCTCAAAAAGAAGTTATAGATCCAAGCTACTTATGGATTGGACCAGATGGAAAGAATCTCAAAGGCAAGTTGCTTTCTCTTTACTGCTTTATTTCCAGTCTTACAGGTTCCATGTTTATTCTGTCACCCACTAACCCACAGAATCTGATTTTTATGAATATTGCATAACTAGAAGCAATCCATATGTGATGGAAAACATGAAACATTCTTAGGCTTTCTTTTCTGTTTCTCTTCTCTTTTACAAAAAAAAATTAACTCAGTCACTAAAGGTTGAGTAGAATTCTGTATGTGCAAACTTTCTCAATATATAGAAGATTATCTATATCTATATTTTAGAGTACAAATGTGTGTCTCTGAGTCCATTAGTTCAAGAGCTCCTCCTAAACCCATGGTGTCCAGCCAGTTCTGAAGCAGTAGCCAAGGGGTCAGCAACCTATGGTACGCATGCCATATGTGGCACGCAAGCCAATTTTGAGTGGCACACAAGGGAGCACAACTCCCCCTCCTTCCTCCCTCTCCCTGCTCCTCCTCCCCTGCACACAGCAAGGAGCTTGCACTGCTGTTGGAGCCTTCCCCCTTCCTCTGCAGCAGGTTAGGCTGCACTGTGACCAGTGACAATGGAAGGAGGCAGCGCTGTGGCTGAGGTGGCTGGGGCTGAGGCAGCAGCTTCTCCGACATCCAGGACCAGCCTGAGACTGCATGGGTATGGCAGTGGTGCCTCCGGGGCCTACCTGAAACCACGTGGCCACGGCAGCAGCACCTCTGGCCTCCAGGGCCAGCCCAGGACGTGTGGCCGTGGCAGTGGCTCCTCTGGCAGCCAGGGCTGCCACCCAGGACAGCTGGGAAGTCATTACATGGCCATGGCCCCAGCTTCAGTCCTGGAGAAGAGCTGGAGCTTGGTTAGGGGTGTGTGGTAGCTGCTCCTGGGGCAGGCCGTGGGGCGGCTGCTGGGGCTGAACCTGGGGCTGCAGTGTGGCATGGGAGTGCCAGGGAGCTGCAGTGGCTGCTGCTACAGCGGGGGATCAGGCTGCCGTTCTTCTGCTATCATCACTAGCAGAGCAGCGTTGGAGACAGAGGCTTGTGTGCTGCTTAAAATATCAAACTATGAGCCTGAGATTGGAGGACTCAGCAAGGGAAAGCAAGGCCAAGTATCACACTAAATGGTAAGATCTGCATCTGATTTTATTTATTAATGAAGGTACTAAAATGTAACTGAGACTATTAGGATATGTCTACACTGCCACCCTAGTTCGAACTAGGGTGGCAGTGTAGACATATCCTAATAGTCTCAGTTACATTTTAGTACCTTCATTAATAAATAAAATCAGATGCAGATCTTACCATTTAGTGTGATACTTGGCCTTGCTTTCCCTTGCTGAGTCCTCCAATCTCAGGCTCATAGTTTGATATTTTAAGCAGCACACAAGCCTCTGTCTCCAACGCTGCTCTGCTAGTGATGATAGCAGAAGAACGGCAGCCTGGTAGTTCCAATTAGAGATCCTAATTCAAACTACTTACTCCGTGCCGCGTGTAGCCGCGGGCACGGAGTCCGCACTAAGGGGGATTTAAAAATGGCGGCGCCCGGCAAGATGCAAATGAAGCCCGGGATATTTAAATCCCGGGCTTCATTTGCAACTTCGAATGCCTACATTAGCCACCCTAGTTCGAACTAAGGTGGCAGTGTAATCATACCCTTATTGATTTTAAAAGTATCAATCACACTCAGCCTTGTAAATAGCAGTGAATAAGTTAAATTTCTGCATGTCACTTCTGAAAGGTTGCCAACCCCTACAGTGGCCACTATAGTGGCTACTGCTGTAGCAAACTATAGCATTCAACAGGTCAAATAGCCACATTGTTCAAACCAACTAGCCACACTCAACCGGCCAAATAGCCACTTGTGGGTAGTGGCTAGCGTGTTGGACACTATGGTCCTAAACGGTAAGAGCTAGGGAAAATAAGCTTAGCAACAAGGCCAGAAGGGCATTAGATTCAGTCTATTTCAGACCAATACATATAAATACATTGATATAACGATGTAAAGGTAAATAATATATCTTATCTGTTAGCATACTACATAAATTATGTGTCAGTGTTTTTCAGTATTAATCAGATAGTTTCCTGTTTCCATTTTAGGACAAAGTTACATCAATCTCACTGAAACAGGAAAGTTGATGGTGAGAGGTTTTCAGGAGTCTATGTCTGGATCTTATACTTGCACTCTTTCTTATAAAACCATCAAAAGTGACATACAAGAAGAGAGAGAGAGATTTAAGACATACAAATTTATGGTATATGGTAAGACTGTACAAATTTGCTGATTAACTAGGGCATGTGACTTTTTTGAATATTGTTTTATTAAACACAATTAGCACCATACTCTACAATATAAATACATTTTCAAGCACCTTGATGATAAACATCTGGGCTACGTCTACACTGGCCCCTTTTCCGGAAGGGGCATGTTAATTTAAGAAGCCGTAATAGGGAAATCCGCGGGGGATTTAAATATCCCCCGCGGCATTTAAATAAAAATGTCCGCCGCTTTTTTCCGGCTTTTAAAAAAGCCGGAAAAGAGCGTCTACACTGGCCCCGATCCTCCGGAAAAAAAGCCCTTTTCCGGAGGATCTTATTCCTACTTCGAATAAGTAGGAATAAGTAGGAATAAGATCCTCCGGAAAAGGGCTTTTTTTCCGGAGGATCGGGGCCAGTGTAGACGCTCTTTTCCGGCTTTTTTAAAAGCCGGAAAAAAGCGGCGGACATTTTTATTTAAATGCCGCGGGGGATATTTAAATCCCCCGCGGATTTCCCTATTACGGCTTCTGAAATTAACATGCCCCTTCCGGAAAAGGGGCCAGTGTAGACGTAGCCCTTTAGTACAATAAGTCCGTTCAATTCAACTTTAATTTCAGTCATATCAATATAACTACCAAGAGTATGTGGTGACCATCCTTGAGAATTAAATAATCTTTATCTTTGGGGAAAATAGATATGTTCATTGCCTTCCTGCCATCCAGGTCAGAAAAGAGGCTCTGACATGGCTATGAACTTGTTTTAAAGAGGAGTCAAAGCTAGGATAATGTCCTGGTATAGAAAGAGTCTTCTAATCTTAGTTGATGACTATGAGTGGTGGAAGGATGACAGATTGTGCACTTCAACAATCCAATCATTCTCCCAAAACAATTTTTAAAAAATAAATAAAAGGAGAAAGAAACAGATGTAATTTATTTTTCCAATCAGATTTACAAACTTTCCACCCTAAAATGCAGATACATGAAATACTTTCTTTAACAACTTCTCATCACATTTCAGCTATGTTTACTTATTAAGCAAGTGCACAGGCTCAAAAATGGTCATGTTATTTCTGTAGCTGTTTTGACATATAACATTTCTCCATATTTGGTATTTAATGTATAGTTTTACAAAAATGTATACATAGGAAAATTCTTGTGTATATCAAACTAAATTAACAGTGTAACCCCATTTAAATCAGGGAAACTATAACAAGGATGAATTTGGCCCATTATGCTTAAGAAGTATAACAAATTAGTTTACTTCTAAAGTCTATTTAAGATATAAGGTACAAAGAATAGGACTACATAGGGCAGTGTTTCTTAAACTTTTTGAGGCCATGGAACACCAAACAATAATATTTTTTATGCAGAACACCTATGAAAATTTTCTTTAAAAAAAATTTGCTGTCAGACAAAAAAAACAACAAAAACAAAGAAGAGGTCACAGCACACCTGCAAGTTGTTCATGGAACACCAGTGTTCCGCAGAACATAGTTTAAGAAACACTGACATAGAGAATATAGTATGTGTAGGACAAATGTATTGCATGTATTTATGTGCATACTTATTTTTCTTAAGCATATAGGGAACCTGACTATACATACCAGATATCTGTTCGGTTTACTACAAAAGAGTGCAGACTAGCAGCTAATGGTCAATTCTTTGAGGAGCTGAAGAAAATCTTGAACGATTTAATCTCTGATTTGACATGTCATGTCATAGAACCATCATATAAATGTCATGTCATCAAGATACCAAAACATGGCCTCCTGGATGAGCTATTTGTTACTTTTCAAGGTAATAGATTTAAGCATCTGTTTAAGAGGTAGTGTCATACTGATACCTTATTAACAAAAGAGCTAAATTAAGGACAATAGAAGTAACATTTGCAGTTATATCAGAGGCATACATTCCTTAACATGTTGATTCTCTGCTTTTATTCAGAGTATCTGTATTTTTTCTTGCTTTAGAGGGGTAGCCGAGTTAGTCTGTAACAGGAAAAACTTAAAAAACAAATAGTTTAGTAGCACCTTAAAGACTAACAAAACATGTAGATGGTATGAGCTTTCGTGGGCGCAACCCACTTCAGACATGTATTTTTTCTTGTTAGCCCACAGATGGAGCTATAATGCAGTTTATGAGTTAGTTGCATTTATAGTACTGTAAATTTAACAATCCTACTGGAAAGGTTATTTTCAAGCAGAGGTGTAGTTTGTAAAGGGCTTTGGGAAATATAAGAATGGCATACTGAGTCAGACCAAAGTTCCATGTAGATCAGTATCCTGCCTTCTGATAGTAGCCAGTCCCAGGTGCTTCAGAGGGAATGAACGGAACAGGTAATCATGATGTGGTCCATCCCCTGTCACCCATTCTCAAAAGATCATTAGTTCAGACATAGATCATTTATGATTCTTCATTAATATTGTAATTTTACCAAATGATCAGATTTATTTTTCTTACTATTTTCTTCGTGTTATTCCTTGCCACATCCTTATTCAGGGTTGGCAACTTCTATAGTTTTTTTCAGAAATTCATTATTGTACATCTGGTTGACATGCAAATTGGTCTTTTTAATGTCCATTGATAACCAGTCCATATAACAAGTCTTTTGCCTTCCCCTTAGTTGTCTTCCATCCATAATCATTGCAAGACCCAGACTATCAATATAATTCTCAGGTCTCCATTGGACATGTCTTACCAGCAGAGTCTAGCCTCCCTCAATTTACCTTCATTTGAGGTGGCCCACATTATGCCACTCACATATTCATTTTCTTTCCCATCATGGAGTGTGCAACTATTTTACTATCTCAATATCTGCATTTTCATGGTGGAGAGCCTACAGATTAATTTTCTTGTACTTTACCAAGTCCCTGTTCTGTGCATTTGGACTCTTTCAGTTGTTTAGGCTGTCTGCCTATAATTTCCTTTCTGGTATGTCCTCCTTCCTCAGTTATACCTTCAGTTTTGCTTACCTTCACTCTGAGTCCTACCTGCTCAAAACTGTGTTGCTACTGTTCAGAGTTGAATTGTAGGGTCTCACAAACTTTCACACATATCCCAGAGTATTCAACAAACAGCATGTTCTTAGTTCCTCTGTGAGTTTGCAATTGAAACAGTCTCCTGAGTTAACAGCTGTCCTTAAGCTTTTTTTTTTAAGCTTCAAATGTTATGACAGGTCCTTAGAACACTAAATGTATGTGTTCTTAAAACTTCTACAGTTACTCTCATCTTCCCTTCTTCCACTGTCATTTTGATGTAGATCTGATTCCAAGTTACTAAAAAAGCTAAGACTGACTATATATTGGAGTAAGCCCCACTGAAAAAAATATAGAATGGGGTTCCTTTGGGAAAGCTGAATTATGCTGAAGTAAAATAGGGAATAGTCTTATGCTAGTACCATTATGTGCTGTGAACATGATGTAAGAAAATAAGAAAAAGACTCTCTGTGGTAACTGGCAACTCTAGAGTCACTTTCAAGTGATGTTCCTGTGGGTGCTCCACTCAGGTGTTGGTGCGCCATCGCACCAGCAATCAGAGGTTTTTCCCATAGCAGTGCCTTCCCCGCAATGTGCATGTGCAGCCACTGCCTCATGCTGCTGTGTCCATTGTCTGCATGAGTGGTGTGGACCCCTCAGTTCCTTTTCTGCTGTCCTCTGCAGAAGACAGAACTCCTTAGCAGTGCATCCTTTTTCATAGAATCATAGGACTGGAAGGGACCTCGAGAGGTCATCGAGTCCAGCCCTCCACCCTCAAGGCAGGACCAAGCTCCGTCTACACCATCCCTTCAACAGACCAAAATTTACTTCATTTTACTCGTTTCTGTCATCTTTTACCTTCATTTCATATTTAGAATCCATTTATCAAAAAAATACAAACCTTCCCTTTTTTCTTCAACGTTTTTCCTGGCCTTTTTTTTCCCTATCATATTGGGTTCACCCCGATTTAAGAAGTGTGATTCCTGAAGGCATACAATGCCCGTATCAGATGGACACACTTCCTGCATTAGATGCCTGGGGGAGGGCAATGTCTCCCAGAAATGCTAACACTGCCAGAACATTACACTGAGAGCAAGGCGAGACAGGGAGATGTAACTGAAGAATATTCTGTGGGAGACATCCCTCCAGCCTGGGACAAAACCCACCACATACTGTACTCAAAAAAGTCTGCCTCTATGGAGCCCTCAGCTCCAAGGAAGAGGCCACTTTCATCTCTCCCCTGGGACTCCTGTAAGTCCAGGGCATCCCCGGCATGGTTACTGCCAGTGGTGCAACATCAGCCTGAACGACCCATTCGCCATTCAGCATCCTCTGGCACTGCTGAAAAGCAGAAGGTGGCACCACTGAAGCGTGCTGAATTGGAGCTGAAGCACAAATCATTCTCCTCGGTACCATTCCCTCAGGCAACACACCTGGCACCAAAGGCTAAGCTGGATAGGCCATTTCTTCTGGCACCAGTAGACAGTGCCACACCATTGCGGGCTTTGGTACCAGCATCCAAACAACAGTCAGCACTGGACATGGGATCCGACAAGTCCCTGGAGAAATCTGAGCTCCAGCACTGTGAGACACACACACAACCCTACAACACTCCCTGATATCAGAAATGAGTCACCTCTGCATTCCCCAACTCTCGGGAAACATAGCTTGCACTGGCACGGAGCAGAGGAAACTTCATTCTCCCCAACACCATCTTCTCCCTGCACTGATGTGGCACTGAACATGGAAGTATATTCTTCTCCCAACATTCTTCTCCCACCTACTCTGCATCGTCCTGGTGTTCCATCAGAAAGAAGACCATCCAGTAACCACCACAGTACCCATGATTCAATCACCCGTGGCTATATCCACCTCTCCTATCCTCCATGGGGACCCATGGTCGCAGTACCACCATCAACAACAACAACACAGCGCCTTCTACACCAGCTCATCTAGCCAGTCAATCGCCTTTACTTCTGATTATTCATTTCTCTTCATTTTTATTATTAAAAATTCAGTTAAGTGTCTTAGATCACAAGAATGGTTTTGAAATTGAAACAGTACCTTGATCACAGAAACAAATGGAATAAAATGACTATTCCTCACAAATTTAAGGCAAAATAGAGAGTGCCTCCGCTCTTGAGTTGTATTTGCAATGGGATACAATTAATATAGTATAAAAATAAGTAGCAGCAATAGTATGATAACTGGCATTTGCCTGGCAATTCTTTGTAAAAATAAATTTCTAAATGAAAGATACTAATTTTAAGATGCTTCATTGTTATGCATTCTTCAAGGTATTTGTGAGGAGAAATTACGAAGCAGTTTTGCTTTTAACTTCTTTCTCCTTTTCTTTATAGTAAATCCTTTTGCTCCAGGGTGGGAAGCAGTTTGCCAACAGATTTCTTACGACTGTGAAGATGTAACCAACCAAAGAGTTCAGGAGGTAGGATTTTTTTAATGCAAGCATACTAATGAGGAAAGGAGTGGCTTTGAGAAAGTGTTTATAAAATATGAACCACGGAGTTAGTTAAAGGTGAAATTTCCTTTTCTCTGTACCAACCTTAGATAATTGGGATTAGAGCAAGCACAGCATGGAGAAAGAATCTATTTAATCAGTCCACAAGCAGACAATGGTGCTTTGGCACTGCTATTTTATATGGCTGTGTCTAGACTGCATCCCTTTTCCGTAAATGGGATGCAAATTAGACATATCGCAATTGCAAATGAAGCGGGGATTTAAATCCCCCCCGCTTCATTAGCATAAAAATGGCTGCCGCTTTTTTCCGGCTCGGAGCTTTGCCAGAAAAAAGCGCCACGAAAAGGCTTTATTTTCTGAAAGATCCGCATCTAGACTGGCGCTTTTTTCCAGCAAAGCTCCGAGCCGGAAAAAAGCGGCAGCCATTTTTATGCTAATGAAGCGGGGGCGATTTAAATCTCCGCTTCATTTGCAATTGCGATATGTCTAATTTGCATCCCTTTTAAGGAAAAGGGATGCAGTCTAATCACAGCCTATATGTTAGGGAATATTAGCCACTGCTGTTCCATGTTTCCTATGCAGATATTTTACCCCAGTGGATTCATATAAATGTGGCCATACCCAGTGATCCCTTATGTAACCAATTTGTGGAATGTCCTCCCTTTATGATATAGGATATGTAGATTTTCCACAGATATCCATGTATATGTGCCACTCTTAAGTAGTTTTCTTTGTATTCAGTGCAAATGGTCCACAATTGTACTCAGTGGATCAGTAAAGTTTAAGTGTTATAGAAGGCTTTTATAGTCTCTTCATGCTGCAGTGAAATTCACCGTTTGTATCTACAGATTTTGAGTGGTTGCAGTCCACCCTGTACAAAGAGGTCTGTATTATAAATAATTCAACTTAAGATAGAAAACTGTATTTAAATATCATATTTATCCAAAATTTGCTGAAGCCAATACTAATGTTTCTGATATATTTACTTTCTAAAATATGAAATTATTAAAATTAGCAGTACATGAACATGTACTATATTTCTATTTCAATTTTCCTAGAATGTCACCTTTGGATTATGATATGGTAGCTGTAATATAGTTTAAAGAAACAATCAAGTGTTCTGTTTTATATATATAGTTCATTTAGCTTTATAGTGATTGTTTATAACATACATTATATTTCATATTGGCCCTGATCCTAGGAAAGACTCTGTATCAGGATGCAGAGCAGTGAGTGCAGGATCAGGCCCATATTGCATGTCATATACATATTAGGACAAAATATATTTATTGGTATATCTAATCTATATAAAAACCAAAATCCCACATTCATAGTTATTATTTAATTGTTCCTAAATTTTAGGCAAGAGATCTCATTGAAGAATTTTTCCATAAACAAACATATGTTCTGAAACACGAATTTCGGAATGTACCTGCAATACACTATATAGACCACAGTTTTGAAGTTACTCGCATTGACAGCTGTCGACCAGGTTTTGGAAAAAATGATGACACCCACAATGACTGTGCTAGTTGCTGTGGTAATTATAGAACAATAAAGTATCTGTATTTTAGCAAGCAATATAAAGATTGTATAGTATCCCGGATTACAGTTTTTCTGCGAGATATATATATATATATATTGGTGAGAGATGTAAGTGTACTGCTGTTTACATGTTGGAGGGGCATTAAGATTCTAGATTTTAAAGCTGGCAGAAATGGAAATAGCCTGGAAAAAGGTGCTGGTAAAATTTGATGTTTATCATACCGTAATACAGATGTGATGACACTGTCCCTCCAGGAAATATGGCCGACTTTCTCCTCTTGCTCTTAGATCAAGTATAGTATTCAGGGCATAGGATAAATAAGAAATGGTCATTTTCATAGTACTGCCATCTGTCTATATATTTTAGAAATCTGCATCTGTCTGTCTGTCCATCTGTGAGTCTTTTTGTTCAAGAACTCCTCCTAAACAGTAAGAGCTAGGACTACCAAATTTGGTATGCAGTTTCCTCTTATCCTAACTTAAAGCAAGGTCAGGGTTTCGTTGTGCCAAGAAAAAAGTGTTGGGAGTGGAACTGTTTTCTATAACATGAAACAGGAGGGGTACAGAGAGGAGGGATATGATACTGAAATTAGCCACTGGGGGCAGAGAGAGCAATGTGCAAGTTGCCACTGGGGACAGCCACACCACCAAAAGAATGGCCATCTGGGCTGGCACTCACTATTGTGCCGTCCAGCAGACTGGGTAAGTAGCCCTCCTGCCCCAAATCCTTCCCCCACCCCCAGCTGTTAGCCGCAGAGCTGGAGGTTGGTGGGAGAAAAGGCCCGTGGTGGCTAGAGGTGGGATGCAGAGAGAGAGAAGGCTCCTGGAGGCTGAAGGGGCTGGGGTCACACCCCCAGCCTCCTGCATTGCCCTTCTTACATCCCCAAGGCCGTGCCCTGGTTCCTGCACCCCCCCACACCACCAGCCCGCTGCCCTGAAGGACCCAGGCAATACCAGATACGCCTTCAGTTTTAAAATAAATGCTCAGGTGTTCTTGGAATTCTCCTGATTTTTCGGACTAGTTCTCCACTTTGTCAAGGTTGTCTTGTATTCTAATACTTGACCCAAAGAGCTGGTATCCCCTCCCGACCTGATGTCATCTGCAGATTTAATAAGCATATTCTCCCAAGTCATTAATGAGAATGTTCAGTAGGGATTCTACTATTTACACCTCCCCCATAATTGGATAGCAAACCATTGATAGCTACTGAATGAGTATGGTCTTTCAACCAGTTTTGCAGCCATCTTATTGTAATTTCATTGAGAATATATGTCTCTAGATTTCATATGAGAATGTCATATGGGACTGTATTGTTCTTTACTAAAATCAAGATATATCACATCTGTAGTTTCACTCCTATCTAGTAGGTTGGTATTGGTTTTTTAGAAAGCTTGTAATTTGAATAGGTTTTTTTTTTAATTTTGAGTTTACCTAAAGCTAAATATGTTTTATACCTTAAAAAGGTAAATGTAAATATATGTTTTATACCTAAAAATCAATAGTCAACCCTTTAAAAAATCTTTTCAGGAAAGTAAGACAGGAGTATTTACATGTCACTAGACATTTCCAAAAGCTACATCTTTTGCTTATGGCAACTGAAATTTGCAAGACAGCCACCTAGAGTCAATGTAAAACAAAGTTAAGCAAAGTTAATGTGTATTGATGGATCAGCCAAAGTGCTCATCACCTGGATTGAGCCCTTAATGTCTGATCTGACTTTTGGTTAGACTACTGTGCTATGAAGTGAAACTTAGTGTGTTGATCTCAGAGAAACTGAAAAAGATATACTATAATACAAGTAGATTTATCCTACAGGGTATTGTTGGAATGGAGCATTAAATACTAAATGAAAAGTAACTAATATAAAATATATTAAAATTAAGCATGTAGTTTCCCTCCATATGTTCACTTAGCTCCATATTCAGCATAAAAAATATAACCTGGAGCTAGTATAGTAATCTGCTGAATGTCCCTTATATAAGCTTGAAAATTCTATAATGTGTATAATCCATCCCAAAGTGGAAGGCATCTGACTGAAATACTGTATGTTTGTTTGGTTGCAGTGGTTTGTGACCCTGGAACTTACAGTCCTAACAATGAAGTGAGATGTCGGATTTGTACAAGCATTCGAATCAAATACTATGGAGCAAAATCTTGCTAATAAACTTAAAATAGAAATTGGAAAACTGAAGAAAAGTTGTGAAAGCATTATTATTCTTTTGTGATGTCCCTTTTTTTTACCTCCAATCCTGGGGATATTTGTTGTTAAACAATAGTCAATCCTTCTAAGATCTATAAGCTTTACATTTTCTTTATTCAGGAGCCATCTGTGGATAGAGATTCTAAAAATGTCTAGTATAAAATGTTCATATAGGGGAGAGTAAATCAATGGAAAGCAAAAATGCAAAGAAAATTATGAGTATTGATATGTGTTTTTTGAAGAAAAGTCTCTGGTTTGTAATATTGACACTGATTGCAGGATAGCACTGTATTTTAAATACATGAAGGATTCATAAACAATTAATGGAGAAGTGATGTATATTGTAGTGGAATGATTGTAGAAGCATTATATTGTGTTATAATGCTTTAAGTAGAAGTCCATCCATGTACGTTAATGCTTGCTAGAAATTACTCTTGTAGGCTAGAAATACATATTTAAACTCTATAATGTAAAAAATAAAACTGTTTATTGTATTTCCTTTTGCTTTTTGTCCCTTTTTGGAAAAAAACATGTTACAAGTTCTCTTTTTCAAGTCAGAGAGGTTGAAATCACTGATATTTATATACTTACTGATTGCGCTATGAAATATAATGCACCAATATTTATTACCCATGCAAGCTAAAAGAGCATATTGTTGGAACTCATTTATAAACCCCTTTAAACAGGGAATCTACAATGAAAACTATGGCAGATTCTGTGCAGCTAAAATATTAATTTATTATACTGAAAATTTCACAGTGGTATGCAGAAAGGGCTTCCAAACCATATCTAAGAAACTTAAAAAAAAATCCAGAAAGAACTGCCTGCTTTCATCAGCAGTTTGAAAAAGTCGCCTGGCAATCACAGTACAAAATTCAAGGAGAGATATCTACATTCTTCATTTTTCTGAGACAGACAAATTACGTTTTGTTAGACATTTAGTGGTCATGTCTTTTTGAGGAGATCCTAAAAAACAAAGTTTTCTGTAGATATTAAATATCCAGTCACACTTTTTGTGAGAGTAGGGTTTTGCCAAAAATAAAAGTGGTTATTTTCTTCTAACATAAATTTGTTGTAGAAAGTTCCACCATATTTCTTTCTGTTATCAAAGTGAAATCTTAGCATTTATATCGTGCTTGAAATCTTTTCATTTCAGCCTACTCTGTCCAAAGTTAAGCAGAATGATGGTAAAAACACTAGTGGCTACTTGAGTTTTCACCATTGCCATAGTCAGTGGGAGTTGTATGGTAGTGCAACAAAATGTGGAAGTTAAAAAAAAAGTTTAATGTAGAGTAGGCCAATGAATGCTGAATGGGCTCAGACTACAGTCTGCTTGGTTTTTTTTAAGAAAAGAGTAAATCCCAGATTACATATTTTAGGCAAGATATGCTAGCAAATTTCACAGTCCTGGAATCAGGAAACATAAGGGGCTGCATATATGATTTTTATGTTGTCTGCTTCTTCCATCAGATTTTTAGAAACTATAACCAAACAAAAGGCGTTGAGTATTTTGATCTCCATCTGCTTGCTTTGGTAGCTATTTCTTCTCTGTGTATCACATGTGACATGTGCTGGGGGGACATGCTGTATGAACAGAAGTTTATTCTCCTCACAGCCATCTTGAATGCTTCATGATTTTACTGCATCAGTAAACAAGACCAGGAACAAATTTTGAAAATATTAAGTGGAAGTATTTATTCCCAGAAGGAATCTAACCTTTCAAAAGTAAAGCAAATTTGGTAATCTGCAATGATATCTACAATGATAGAATTTCTTGCCACATGCTGTATGAACAGAAGTTTATTCTCCTCACAGCCATCTTGAATGCTTCATGATTTTACTGCATCAGTAAACAAGACCAGGAACAAATTTTGAAAATATTAAGTGGAAGTATTTATTCCCAGAAGGAATCTAACCTTTCAAAAGTAAAGCAAATTTGGTAATCTGCAATGATATCTACAATGATAGAATTTCTTGCCTATAAATTAGAAACTGTGGTTAATATTGCACTATTGTAATACAAGTACTTTCAAGTAACATTGGTCTTTAGTAAGTTCATAATACAGGGCGTCCCCGGTATACATCCGTTCCACACTAACATCATTGACGCTTCTAGGAACTGATGCATTATCAGTCCTCCCGTTTCCCACTCTTAAGTCACACAATCCCCCCCCTCCCTCCAATTTGTGCAAATGGAAGTCAGCTGTGGGAAAAAAATTCCCCGCTTTAAGTTGTTTTGCTATAAGTCCAAGGTTTTTGGAACATATCTTGAACTTATAGAAAAGATGGTCTGTACACAATTATATATACCTTGCAAGCCTGTGAAAAAGTTGGCCCGGTGTATTTCTTGAGTCCAAAGAGGGCTAGCTATCTCTCTATATATTTTAAAAACTTTTTGCTGCATCCCACCTGCCTCCTCCCTCCTTTCTCCCTCCCCTTTCCTCATTACTCGACAGCCTCACGGGGCCTGGAGAGGGCCCCCGTCCCCAGTGTTGGGAGGGACGGAAGCCGTGTGTCCCCCTGGCAGCTGGAGGGAGAGAGCCGGGCCGGCCTCAGCCCAACCACCCGGCGGCCAAGGGGAGAGCCGGGGCTGCCTATCCCCGGAGAGGAGGGTTGGTGAGTGTAGTGAGTAGGGGGCACTGCCCCCTCATGTTTATTTAAAATGATTTGGTTTGTAAACCAAGTAATCTTACTAGAAGCAGTTCTTTTTCTAAAACACATAAGAACAGTTTTCCTCTGACTTACTAAACAAAGTGACTACAAGGGGTCAGGAAGGTAGTTTTACATTTTGTTCAAAATACTGTGAACCTGATTAACCACTGCTTTGCACCTTTATGTAGTCATCTGCAGAAAATGGATGTGAAACACTATTCTGACTCAGTACTGTTCTACAGCAACCTTGTGAATGTGTAAAGATGCAAGGCAATGGAAAACCAGGCCTAGCATCTCTTCTGCTGCACAAATACCGGTACTTCTCTTATTGTGCTTGGGCATTGGCTCAATATTAATTTAGGGAAAAGTGTGGCACCTACTGAACAACCACCATTTCTTACAGCATATAGAATTTCCTTGGTGGGCACCCATGCAAGAACTGGTTATGATTAACCCAGTTTAGTTTATGCACTTTGACAGTATTGCAGCAGGAAGTGGTATGGGTAGAAACCATATTTCATCCTTTTCATATTCATTATTTATTAAACACTGATGAATAAAATCTACTTTAACAAGAGAATTTAAATTGCCTGTAGGCAGATTGGACAGCTTGTGCACTGATCAGATTTATACAGATTAAAAGACAGGGCATTCTGAGACTGCACAGTACATTTCTTGGCCTAATTCATAGCAGAGTTTCTCAGAGAACTGCAGCATACATAAATTAGTTGGGAAAATGCAATAAATAGACATTAGTGAGGCAGTTATGTGCAGCAGTCTGTTTTTATTTTTTATTACTATTTCAATGGGGTCATAACTAGTTCTTGATTAGTCCCATGAGTTTTTCAAGTTAGCCTTAACAAAATTAAACATCACCACCACAGGTCAAATGTATCCCTGGTCTAATTGCATTGACTTCAGTAGAATTATATTATGCATTACTTTAGCCCATAAACTTTTTCTATATAATCTGTATAAAATAATGTGGCATAGAAGTACTTCACTTTGCTCCTCTGACCTTTTTTATATATTCACACTGCTCCCCCAGTCTAGTTACTTATGTGTGCAATTACTCTTTTATTTACACTAAATTTTTAAAATTCTTTCTCCTTCTTCCAAGTCACTGAGTTGTAACTTCAGATTCTTAGAAATTGCTATAATTTACTATAGACGCTGCTTATCGTTACTTTACGACCAAATTGGAGAATTAAGCTCAAAGCAGAGGAAAAGATTAGTGTCTGTGATGATACTTGTTACCTGACTGACTGGAGGGAGAAAAACTCCCTGGCCGTTGTGGCAGAGTTGGACAGAAGAGCCAGACAAGATAAGAAGAAAACTGCCAGATTTGAACTCCAGTTTAGGGAAATGGAAGAGCAGCAGAGACTGTACCTCTTGGGCGTTCAGTGTATAACTGGATGGGCCTATGGTGTGATTATGACATGGCAGATCTGTGTAATCAGGCTGATGTCTTACCCCAGCCCCAAAGCACCTTCATCAGTTACTGTATCCTTCTGTTCTCTCTTCATTCAGGTCATCAAGGGTGGCCTGGGGCTGGCCCAACCCAGCTGACTCAGGCTTGCAGGATTCAAGATAAGGGGTAGGGTTGCCAGATGTCCAGTACTGACCCGGACAGTCTGGTATTTTCACCTCCTTTCTGGTCAAAAAATTCAGAAAATACTGGACACCTAAAATGTCCAGTACAGCCGGTCCCCAAGTTGCAAATAGTCAACTTACGACCGTTTGCAGTTATGACCAAAGCTGTCATAAATGGCGGACCCTGAGTTATGAACACGATCCGCGCTTACGAACAGCACGGTCGTGTGTAACTCTATGGGGTCCAACTTACGAACGAACCGAGTTCCGACCAATTGCTTGGTCCGTAACCGGTTCATAAGTTGGGAAGAGGCTGTATTTTCTAGGTTTTTTCCTTGCCAGGAGGTGAAAATACCGAACACCTGTCAACCCTACGACATACTCAGCAACTGGGCCCAGCCCTCCCCCCCACCAGACCTCCACCTCCAGATCCCTGCTTACCTGGTTCTGCAGGGAAGCTCCCTTCTGGCTACACCAGACCTCCACCTCCAGACCCCTGCTTACCTGGTTCTGCAGGGAAGCTCCCTTCTGGCTAGACCAAGAAAACAAGATGGCCACCGGCAGCCTAAAGAACTGAGCAAGGGAAAGCAATGCCTTCCCTGGGTCTTAGTGCTCAACCTTTCCTCTTCCTGTCCCTATTCTGACTGTGCACGCACTTAAAGGGGCCATGCTGTTTATTTTATTTATGTATTTTTTTATTTCTTTATTTCTTAATAACTCTTGGGGTCCTTTTTTCTTTCTCAACAGCTTTGGTCTCCACCCCTTTTTTTCCCCTCAACAGAATTTTTTCCCCAGTGTTTTTTTTGGGGGTTGGAGGTGGTGTTCGGTATTTTTGGTTAAACCATCTGGCAACCCTAAGAAGAGGTACTTTAACTGTGGTATAGATATTTGGTCTTGTCTGCACCACAGTTAAGGGGTCCAGAGAGTCCAGAATCGTGCAAGGTGTGAGTGTCCTAGATTTTGGACTGCAGTCTGAGCCCATTCAACAGTAAAACAGCCCCTTAGCCTACATCCCACAAACCTAAATTAGCTGGCCTCGACCAGCAGCTGTGAGCTACAGTTTTTAGTTCTGTGGCACTTCTGATTGCCACCACATAGTAGTAGTTTTCATCAAACTAGAAGCAATGGGACTTTGTCGGAAGTTTTGATAACACTGCAGAATCCCAGGATTCTTGAGTGGCTACAATAATACTTTGAAAAGATCTAAACAATGAAGGATTTGGTTTAAA